TTTATCCGCCTGATCCCCCCACAATATATACATATGATAAAAAAACAGATGAGAACACTTTCCTGCAACAGAAGTTTTGTTGTAAATAAAATCATTTTTAAAGTGTTGATTGAATATTGGTATTTCTTTGTTATAAAAAAGTGATTGAAAATTGATGAAAAGAAAAGAGAAGCATTTGGTCCAAAAATATTTAAAAGAAAATATATATTTTATTTGTTTTTGATTAACACTTTTTAATGGGATAAAAGTTGTCCTTTTAGATTTTACCGCCTATTCACAATTAATTTATAGCCTTTCGGTTATCGGCTTTTAACTGATATGAAAGTTTTTAGTAATCCAATTAAAAATATTTTGTGTAAAGAATTTATTTTCATGTTTGTTGTCAAAAATATCCTGATAAATCTATTACAATTAAAATCATTTTATAATTCTTTAAAAATAATCTTTTTAAAAAGCCATTATTTTAAAAACCCTTAACATTTCTCCAAATTTTATTTATTTCAATAGAGAAATAAAAACAAATTTTTATTTTCTTAAATTCTAAAAATGCTTGAATTTGACCCTAATCACGAAAAATGGCAATGTTGTTGCTGTAGAGTAACGGCTGGTCTACAAATTATGGGTATAGTTGAGGCAATTTGTGCCTCTGCTGTAATACCATTTGCTTTGAATCAAATGAATGAAAATGCTCAATCCGGAAATGTAGAGGGGGGGGGGGAGATTCTTAAGCTTGATTTTTTTGTTTTTATTTTTAGAATGGAAATTTTGTTGTTTTTTATGCTTCTCTTGCTTTCGTTACATTTTTAATTGTAATTACTTCTCTTTTAATGATTATTGGTGTTCGGAAACGTAAAGAAAAATTACTTTATCCAACAATAATTGCCCGTGTACTTCTTGTAATTTTTGTAACGGTAATTAAAATTTAATAAGAATTTCATTTTCTCTTATTAAAAAAGGTATTTGGCGTTAGTATAGGAGTTGTCCGTCATGAAAATGCTAGCGATTTAGATGATATTAAAAGTTCATCAAAACGTGGTAAAAATAAAATTTCTGGCAGAAAAATTGCGAGTCAAGTAAAAATAAATAAATTTTTAATTAAATATAATAAAATTTTTAGGAAGAAGCATCAACTACATTAAGATTGGGTATTTAAATAAATAAATATTTAAATTTTAAATATTTAAAGTTTTTCTAATGGTTTTGATGATGTTTGTAAGTATGGTAGTTTTCTATACAATTTTTCTAGTTGTGAGAGGTGTTAATTTTCTTAAAAATTACAATCGTCTTAAAAGACGAAGAAGCTCGTTTACGGCAATTGCATATTTGGGTAAGTATAAAAAAGTATCAAAATAAAAAATCGAATTTGGGCAAAAATACCAGCAAAATTAATTTATTTAATAACAGTATTCATTATGGGATGTCCATAATATATTTGGTTACTATTATTTAAAAAGGTACCACTAATAATTTATTAAAAATCCATTAAGCCATAAATTATCAGCATGAAACAGTCACAAAAAATTCGCAACCATCCATTTTTTTGAAAATTCCGACATAATAACAGTACCCCCCCCCCTCCCCCCAATATAAACTACAATTCCACTCTAACAATAAGTTCATCTAAAAAAGACCTTTAACGATTTGCTTAAAATCGCATTTTCAGATCCTAATTTAATGGTTAAAAGGCCTTCACAAGCTAGTAGCTCAATTTTACATTAGTTAATATAACAAGAAAAGAATTTAAATTAAAAATAAAAACAAAAAAAACATTGTAAATTTTTCAAAAATTGTCATAAAAACATTTTTCTTTTCTCTTCTTTTTTTTCATTGCTTTTGTGTACTTATATAGAGGACATTATTACCTCTAATAAAAGCATCTCCATATTTAGCTTTTAATTGACCACCATTATATTCTTCTGTTTGTTCTAATGCTATATTCATAAATCCATCCAAACAAGAAAGTATACCTTTAAAAAAATAATTTTTTTCGTTCAAAATTTTATTTTAATTTCAAATACCTCTATAATCAACACCCGAATTTAATTTTACAACAACTGGTTTCCCAACAATTTTTTTGAGAAATTCACTTGGTGTTTGTCGTCTAGTAATATTCATTTTACTTTAGCTAAATTATGATTAATTTTTTAATAAAAATAAAATATTTTAAAGACAAAATCTCAATTTCTAAAAATTAAAAAATTAAAAAAACTATTACAAAATGTATATATTTTTATAACTGACAAAAATAAAAGAAGGAAATTGAATTTGTACCTGGAACGTTACAGGGTTTTTAGAAATAGAGTTTAAATATATTTATTTCTGAAATTAAAAATATTTAAATAATAGAAGACCAAACTATTATTTTGTAAAATTCAAATACAATTTTTTAACAAAGTCCGAGTAAATAGAATGAGAAAAAATAATACATAAAATTATTTTAAAAATTATAGAACAAAAATTTTTTAAAACAAAGTACATAATGCCCCTTACTCATATCAATTTTTATTAAAACCTTGTAAATAATCAAATTAATCATTTTAAACAGGAGGTTAACAAGTCTTAATATTTTTTTGGTTTAAATAATCAAAATTAATTTTAAATTTAATCATGAGATAGTTTTTATATATAATTAAATTAAACCAAAAAATTATTTAAAATTTTTGTAAATATGATGGAGTGGATAATGTCAAGAAGTGGAACAATTTTGTTTTGACAATTAAATTTTGTACATACGCTTCCACATATCACCAAAATATATACCTCTCCCTCTTCTCACAATTTACTTTGTTAGTCTTCATCCCCCTGTCCACTATCCTCGGCATGTTCACTTTCTGGTACATCCGTTGTGTCTTTAAAATAATTATAAAAATATTTTTTTAAATTAAAAAAACCAGAAGCTCCATCATCGTAATAATCTTCTACAAAAAATTAAAAAATATTTATTTTATATATTCACAAATTTTCCAACCATCCATATCAATAACATCATTATTATTCGTTGCAGCTATTTTTGTAGGAACGACATAGTCTTCAATTGTTTCAGGGACAACAACCTTATCTTTGCGCGCCTCCTCTTTTGACTTGTCAACTTGCTTTCTAATTTTTAAAAATTGACAGAATGCCGTGAAAAAATTCCAATTTACCTAATTATGTTCGCATATTCCTGATCACCTTCCTCTACAAAAAAACATTTTAAATTTAAAATAGCTAAAAAAATACCTTTATATTTTCTGTAACTAACAGAAGCATCAACATTAGCTGGAGAAGAAGTGTTTGGCTCGTTCAACAAAGAAATGACTGAAAGAAGAACTGTACGAACTGTTTGTGTTGGATTCCAACGTTCACTTGATAACTAAAAATTTGTTTAGAAAAAAATAATTTTTTAAATTAAAAAACCTCTCCACTTTGTGGATCATCAACTGGCGGATGAAGAATACTAACACAAAGTTCACCGCTCTAAAAATAAATATTTAAAAATTATCTCAATTTAAAAGGTACCGGGTAAACATTTGGATGGTAAACTGGTTGTATAAACCTCATCGAAGGAGGTGAATAAGGATAATTTGTTGGAAAAGTGAGAACCTTAACAAAAATAATGAAAAGTAGTTTTAATTTTTATATACCGCCTTGAAGTAGCCACCCTGAAATTTGAAAAATTAAATAATTGTATGATTAAATATTATCATTAGAATTTACTTAAAAAAGTAAAAATGAACATAAAAAAGGCTCATGCCCGTGGCAAGAATCATTAAAACGACCAATTAATAGTCAATTTAGACAATTATCAATAATAAAAATTAGAATAAATTATGCTCGTACACAATGAATTAATCAAGACTAACATGAGTATAGTAAATATAAAACCTGATAAAGAGTTCCAGGCGGCCCAAAAATAGCAACGGTCCATTTAAATAAATTATCTTCATCACAAACAACTTTAAAGCCTTCAATTGGTTGTGATTGCAATGATTTTAATTCCATTTGCAAAGCACGTATAGCCGCAGCATTCGTGTTTGAAGAAGAGGTCAAAGAATTGTTAGGCTAAAAGAAAAATTTTAAAATTAAAAAAATTATTTATAACCATTATTTTGAAGTATTTATTTCTTAAATCTCGTTGACCCGTCAAAGAATTAACCCGTTTATTTGATTAATAATGTAGTTCCAAAAAATACGCGAATGTTTATATAATGTAGAAGAGTAGAAAGACACAAAAATTAAGTGCTGCCAAAAATCAATTGGATGAGGTGGCTAAAAAATTAAATATTTATTGTTAGTTAATTAAACATATAATGAGAACAAATAAAATGTATATTTAATTTAAAAATTTTTAAACTAAAAATCATCATTAAACTTTTTAGTCAAAAATAGAAAAAATGCACGTGAACAAAAAGACAACTCGTGCCAGCGGCAAGAATCGTTAAATACATTATGCCAGATAATTAAATAAATTTGTGCCAAAAATAAATTTTTTGAACAGAAACTATCGTAAAGTACTAAAAACCTTTGATTAAAACGCTCTCTTTTTTCATTTATTTGGTTTCAACTTTTAAATCCAGTTTTCCCAAAGTATTTCGCGTTTTTTGAATTTAAATACCATATTAATCATATCAATTCATTAAAGTATATTATTTTTAAACACATTCCTTAAAAGACCTAATAAACAGTGCTTGGACGCTCGTATCAAAATTCGTACTCGTACTTGGTACGACTAAAAAATAGGGGTGGTACGAAGTACGAGTGCGAACAATTCTGAAATTTCCAGGCACTGTTTAAGAAATAATTTAAAAAATAGTTTTAAATTAATGTTTTCAATTCTTTTATCGAGAAAATATCTAAAGTTAAAAATTAGATTAAAAATGAAGATTAGGTATGATAATTTCAAAAAGAAATTTTACAATTCAATTTTTTAAAAAAAAAGTGAAAAAATACTCGCAAAATTTAAAAAATATGTATTTCAAAAAAAAATAATTATTTTTTCAAGACATTTTTTTCTTCTTCATTTAATTTTCTTGTTTCTCCAAATTATTTTCTTCAGCTTTTTTTATTTCTTCTTTATTTTTGTCTTTTTCTTCTTTTAATTCTTTATCCGACTTTTGAATAATTTCAACATTTATTTTTATTGAAATTGGGAATTTAAAGGATCCATCTCCATTATTACGTAAATAAACAAAAGTTAAAATTAAAGAATAACCACCATACAAAATTAATCCAAAAAGAAACAAATATGCCTTTCAAATAATTTAAAGTTCTTTTTTTTAATTTATAAAAATTAGTTTACCCCATATCTTCCTGATGATATAAACTGTGCAAAAAATAATATAGTGAAGGAATATGAAATGATTATATCCTTTAAAAATTAATGTAAAATAATTAAAGTTATGAAAATTAATTTCATTAAACTTAGATGGTTAAAGTTAAATAGAGATTATTCCTTTACTTAAATTATTCCATTCCTTAAAACTATGGTTGCGCCCCGACCCCGACTAACCCCGACCCCGACATTTTTTGACCTAGAACCCCGACCCCGACATTCCCAACCCCGAAAACCCCGACCCCCGACTTTTTCAACCCCGAAGGCTCGGGGCGCAACCCTACTTAAAACTAGAGATCGGAATTTTGTTCCGTACCGTATTCCGTACCGTAATACCGAAAAATACCGATACCGAAAAATACCGATGAAATTCAAAATGTTGCCGTACCGTATTCCGTACCGTATTACCGACTGTAATACCGATAAATACCGAGAAATACCGACAAATACCGATGTTTTTCATCGGTACCGTATTCCGTACCGTACTACCGATACGGAATACCGATAAATACCGAAAAATACGGCCGTAGTACGGTACGGTCCGATCTCTACTTAAAACCCTATTTCTGAATTGTGATTTATTCAAATTCTTTTAAAAACCGATGTTACAAGCCTAAACCATTTAAAAATAAATTAGAAATTTATTGTTAAAAAGTAACAAAACAAACAGCAAAGAAAAGGGTTGACAAACGAATTGGTTTTGCATTATTTTGGCTTTCGAGATGAACAGTACAATAATATAAAAGCCAGTGAATAAAACTAACAATTGCTGGTAGAATAAGATAAATTGATGCACGATTAGATGCAAAGTATGGAAAATACATTGCAGAAAATAAAAGAAGTGTTTGTAATAACTTTAAAATTAAATAAATTTTTAAAAATTTATTTTTAAAATACCCATTGTGTAGTTTTTAACTTTCCAAAAGGATAATGACGAGAATATATTTCTTCAATTAATGAACAATTTGGAAATTTTGTTTTATAATTATTTAATCCAACTGCCCATAATTGTGATTTACGCATCTTTTTATAAAGATTAAAAATTAGTAACAAGTTGACAAGAATTGCAAAAGAGGCCAAAACCTGTAAAAATGGATAAAATTCAAAAAATCAAAAATGAAGAATATATGTTAGTCGGTTTCGAACTACAACCTTACAGAAAAAAATTCTTTAATTTTAAAGAAAAGAATATTTGAATTAAACCCAAAAAATAATTTAAGAACAAAAAATTACCAACCAAACAAATTGGATCGAGTAATAAATTTACAAATAAGCGTTTTTTTCGATTAGCAATTGTATCCAATAAATAATCCTTTGGGTAAAATTGCAAATAATCAGAATCATCTATTTCAGTTAAATCAGCATAAGCCTCAAATGTATAATTGAAATTTGCAAGTTTTGGGCCAAACCAACGATATTCAGCCAAACATTTTACCGACAAAGTTATATTGGTAATAATTAAAATTGGAATGGTAATTGCATAGAAACAAATATCCTAAAAATATATCAACTGTTAAGGCTTTAAATTTTTCCTAAAATTTACCATTAATGAAAAGAACGCAGCCATAAATGTATTATTCTTGATAGTAATACTTCGGTTTATGCCCACTTTTTTACTTCGTATTTTTTTCCTTTTATGAGAAAAAAGCTGAGTCGAATGGACTAAAATCAACGAAACCTGACTTAAATGAACAAAGTTGTGCCCATTTATTTTAATCCCTTAAAGGTTCAAAAAACATGATGTCCAGCCCACGCCTATATGTCCGCAAAAGTCATTCTACAGAAAAAGCATTATTTTCTGCTTCAAATCGTTTCCTTCTCTCCCTTAATTTTCCTCAGGTTATCACATGATTGCGGAAGGAAGCAATGTTTTTTGAAGAATGCCTTTTACGGTCCTATAGGCAGTGACATTTACACAAAAACAGTTCTTAATCGAGGATTCAGCCTTCATAAAATCTAACCAATCATGGTATCATTCGACCCAGTTCGAAGAGCTCTTGATATATAAAAACTCGAAGTAGTCACGGAAACAGAGAAGTTGGGTCGTAAACCGGAGCATTACCTTCTTGACAAAATGATGAGAAATTAAAGAACAAAAAGCAAAAATAAATAAAACTATCCGGCCAATCGTATGATTCATTTCCATGTTATAAGATTTTTCATACAAAACTGTTGTCCAATACTTTGACCAATAAATATAGTAAGAAGTAGTAAAACATGACCCAACAGCCAAAATCAGCAACAAAATCTATTAAAAATAATAAAATATTTTTTAAATACAGTCGTGGAAAAAAGTATGGAAGCGCTAGAAAATTTTTTCTTAATTCTTAATTTTTCATTCAAAAATTACGTTCTATATAGCAATCGAAAGCTCTATTCGTATCTCAGTTGACATGTTTCTGCGTTTTTTATGAAAATGAAAATTGGCCGAGATAATCCGGATCTACCGGATATACCAAATCCCATTTTTTCGGAAAAATTTTGTGGATAAAATTTAACAAACCCATTTGATAGAGCATATTTTTTTGAGTATTTTCCACAAAACCGCTTAGAGATATCTTTTTCCGGAACGGAGATATGATTTTTTAAAAATCGCATTTTTCGTCTATTTTTGCAAAAAATTCAATTTTTAAGGGAAAAATGCCATTTTCAAAAAATCATATCTCTGCTCGGGAAAAAGATATCTCTAAGCGGTTTTGTGGAAAATACTCAAAAAAATATGCTCTATCAAATGGGTTTGTTAAATTTTATCCACAAAATTTTTCCGAAAAAATGGGATTTGGTATATCCGGTAGATCCGGATTATCTCGGCCAATTTTCATTTTCATAAAAAACGCAGAAACATGTCAACTGAGATACGAATAGAGCTTTCGATTGGTATATAGAACGTATTTTTTGAATGAAAAATTAAGAATTAAGGAAAAATTTTCTAGCGCTTCCATACTTTTTTCCACGACTGTAAATAATCACCAAATTTGTAATTTTAAGAAGACGAAAAGGCCAAATTTTATTGTAAATTTGAATAAAATCTTTCTCCTTCTCACGTCGTCCTCCAACCAATTGCTCTTTGTCATTATAAGACTCTTGAAAAATAACATCATTGCTTATATCTTCATTAATCTTTTCTTTATCTATATCAGATAAATTGTTAATATTTAAATTACTAGTCGGCGTGGATAACATTGAAGAAAAAATATATTCTAAAATATTTTTAATTTAAAAGTTTTTAATAAAAATATAAAAATGTATGTATACATACATACATATTTTAAAATAAAAATATATTTAAATTTCATCACATATTTCTCATATTAAAAGTAAAGTAAACAAAAAAGGTATTAATTGCCCGTCAAAGAAGAGGATTATAAAACGATAAGAAATTGACAGGAAAATATTTCGAAATTAAAACGCAAACAAATTTTAAAAATTTTTTAGCACATGAAAAAAGTATGGCTCCAAAACTCGGTTATATTTACGGTAAAATAAACTATAAATTAGTTTATTTTATTGTAATTTCTTTTAGAAATCTACATTAAATTTCTTTTTTGGTTACATTCTCTATTATTTTCAAATCATGCAATATTTAAACATTTGTTTTGTTAGTTTTTTTTAGACATTCTTCCTTAAATATTTGTTTATTTGATTGTTTTTTGTTTCAAGTTTTTCAATGTTTTTAAAATTTAAACCTATATTTATTGGAAAATAAAGGTTTAAACATTTCTTAATGTTTTTAGATGAATTAGATAACTTGTGTTTTTCAGAGAAAGGTCAACGGAAGGAAAAAGTTTTCGGCAACGGAAAAGAACGTCCGGAAATGAGTTGATTTGACTTTTAAGTTTTGTTAAAATTTAGAATTAAGCTGGCGGAGGAGCCCGCCCGAAGAACGAGCCTCCGCTAGTTAACTAAAAATAGTCTTAAAACCAATTAATGTTTTCAAATCTTTAATCGAGAAAAAATAAAAAGTTAAAAACTATACATACAGGTTAAAAATGAAGATTATGTAAGATAATTTCAAAAAGAAATTTTACATTTAAACTTTTTAAATCTAAAGTGAAAAAATACTCGCAAAATTTTAAAAATATGTATTTCAAAAAAATAATTATTTTTTCAAGACATTTTTTTCTTCTTCTTCATTTAATTTTCTTGTTTCTCCAAATTATTTTCTTCAGCTTTTTTTATTTCTTCTTTATTTTTGTCTTTTTCTTCTTTTAATTCTTTATCCGACTTTTGAATAATTTCAACATTTATTTTTATTGAAATTGGGAATTTAAAGGATCCATCTCCATTATTACGTAAATAAACAAAAGTTAAAATTAAAGAATAACCACCATACAAAATTAATCCAAAAAGAAACAAATATGCCTTTTAAATAATTTAAAGTTATTTTTTTAATTTATAAAAATTAGTTTACCCCATTTCTTGATGATATAAACTGTGCAAAAAATAACATAGCGAATGAATATGAAATGATTATATCCTTTAAAAATTAATGTAAAATAATTAAAGTCTTGATAATTAATTCCAAAAAATTAAATGGTTGAAATTAAATAAATAAATTAAATTTTCCATCCTTAAAACTAGAGAGCGGAATTTTGAAAAAACCGGGATCGGGAAACGGGAACCCTCATCTAATTCCCTTTAATCCATCCAAATTCACATTGATGCTGATTTAATTTTATTTAATTTTTATTTAATCACTCCAAATTCACTATGATCTACTCCGTGCAATATTGATATCAGGGATTAAAAGAGATATCGAGAGATTCAAGTATTTGTTCGGTAGGATTAAGAAAGATTGTGGAGAAGGACCTCCGATCGTCCTATATCACCTGATATCTATTCAAATCCCTTCAATTGGAAGGCAATGATATCAGATGATTAAGGTAGATATAATGAATTTAGAGGGATAAAGATGGATTAATCACCAGGTTCCTTGATAAAATCGCACTATACACTAATTTCTCTCAATTTTACCTACAAATTTCTCCGTTTCAATTAAGTCAAAAATCAAAAAACCAAGCAAAAATAGAATATCTACAATTAGCTGCTAGAATTTTTCCCGGTCCATGAAGCCGGTATCGGGAACAGGTTCCGATCCCGTACCACTCTCTACTTAAAACCCTATTTCTGAATGTGATTTATTCAAATTCTTTTAAAAACTGATATATACTAATTAATTTAAAAAGAAACAAACAGTAAAGAAAAGAGAAGACAAATTAATTGGTTTTGGATTATTATTTTGACTTCCATGAACTGTGCAATAATACAAAAGCCAGTGAATAAAACTAACAATTGCTGGTATAAAAAAACAACCAACTGATATATAATGAAGTTCAAAGTACGGAAAATACATTGCAGAAAATAAAAGAAGTGTTTGTAATAACTTTAAAATTAAATAAATTTTTTTTTAAAATTTATTTTTAAAATACCCATTGTGAAGTTTTTAACATTCCAAAAGGATAATGATGAGAATATATTTTTTCGATCAATGAACAATTTGGAAATTTTGTTTTATAATTATTTAAGCCAGCTGCCCAAAATTGTGATTTACGCATCTTTTTATAAAGATTAAAAATTAGTAACAAGTTGACAAGAATTGCAAAAGAGGCCAAAACCTGTAAAAATTGATATAAATATACAGAGCCGAGTATTTATTGTCAAATATATGGTTGTCGGTAGTGCTTGGTATTGAGTATTTGTTGGCTCCGGCCCCGACCTTTTTCAAACCTTGATCCGACTGGGGTTCTCAAAATCCCAGCTCCGGCTCCATCGGAGCCGGACTTCAGAGCTAGCTCCCGGAGCCATACCCAGCACTTGTTATCGGCTCTTAGATTTAGAACTAACAACCATACAAAAAAATTCTTTAATTAAAAATGTTTGAATAATTTAAAATTACCAACCAAACAAATTGGATCGAGTAACAAATTTACAAATAATTGTTTTTTTCGATCAGCAATTCTATCCAATAAATAATCGTTGCTGTAGGAATTCAAATAATAAGATTCTATTTCAGTTAGATCAGCATAACCCTCAAAGGTATAATTGAAATTTGCAAGTTTTGGGCCAAACCAACGATATTCAGCCAAACATTTTATCGAGAAAATTATACTTGCAATAATTAAAATTGGAATGGTTAATGCATAGAAACAAATATCCTAAAAATAAATTAATTATCAAGACTTCAAATTTTTTCTAAAATTTACCATTAATGAAAATACCCCAGCCAAAAATGTATTGTACTTGACAAAATGATGAGCTATTAAAGAACAAAAAGCGAAAATAAATAAAATTATTCGGCTGAACGCATATCCCCCTTCCATGTGATAAGGTTCCTCATACAAAACTGTAGTCCAATATTTTGACCAATCAATAGTGTAAGAAATACAAATCCATGATCCAACAGCCAAAATAAACAACAAAATCTATTAGAAATATTTTAAAAGAATCTTAATCAAAGAATCACCAAATTTGTAATTTTAAGAACACGAAAAGGCCAAAATTTGTTGTAGACTTGAATATAATTTTTCTCCTTTTCAAATTGTTCTCCAACCAGTTGCTCTTTGTACTTCTCTTTATTTATATCTTCTTTCATCTTTTCTTTATCTATATCAGATAAATTGTTAATATTTAAATTCTTGGGATGGTTGGATAACATTGAAGAAAAAGTCTAAAATATTTTTTAAATTAAAAAAAGGTTTTTTATAAAAATATATTCATGTATAAACACAAAAATACAATAAATAAATATTTCATAATATGTATATGTAGAGAGCTAAAGCAAACAAAAAAATCTTTGTCACAAGTATTAATTGCCCGTAAAAAACTGCGAGTTAAGAAAGAATAAAGTGATAAGAAATTGGGCAGGAAAATATTTCAAACTTAACATTATAAAATGTTGGATGTTTTAAAGAGAGAAATTTGTTTTAGAAATGAACTCATTTCTCCTTTTTTCTGTTACGTTTTATAAGAAAATAAATTATTTGTTAAATTAATGTGAGTTAATGTTTTAGTAGTCATGCGCAATTTCTCAATTATATATGCACTTTGAGATTTAAATTTAAAAACAAAAAGAGGGCAATAATGATTTGATTTTTTAATATAAACAAAAAATTAGGGAATAATAAATTATTTATTAAACTAACATAAGAATTGAGAACTAAATTAAATGATTGACGAGTCTTCTAATAAAAATTCCAATTAAAAAAACAAACATGTCAATTTAAAATTTACTTCCTTAAATCCATTTAGTCGGTGTTTTTGGCATATAAATGGAGATTGAATCTGATTGAATTCCACGACATACAGACATTACGAAAGGATCGATTGGATGGAAAAGAACACGTGCATAGAATGATGGGTGGGCTCTCATAGAGTCAGAATGGAATTCTAATTTTGCGTGACAAGTTTTTGTTTTGAGATTATAAATTCTGAAAATTCTTTTAATTTAATAAAAACATTCTCTAAACAAACTTTAATGGCTGGTCTAATTGAAAACGTCCTTTTTCAATTTGATAAATCTGCCTTTCATCTACACTGAAGAGATTGGGATCCAAATAAGGGGAGGAAATCATATGTTGAGTATTTGGTAACGGTAATGTTGCCAAAAACCTGAAAACAAAAGCAATAAAAAAAGAATTTTAATTATTATGTACGGGATAAAAATAAAAAGTAATATTAACCCTTACACCTTTCTTGATTTCAGCAATGAACTTGATACAAGTTATATAAAATGATAAATTCGACAAACGCTTGTAATTATTTTTAAGGGCCTATCAAGTGTTCTTTACATTAATAATGCAAAAAATTTATGTTAAAGTGGCTTAAATAAAAATCACTAACCTTTGTCTAGTTTGTTCAAAACTTTGTTGCTTCAACTGATCTTTAATAATTGCTTGGTGTTGTTTTTTAAGTGCCCTACAATGCTCCATTGATGTTGGAAAATAATTAGAAATTAAATGTCCATTCTTGAAGCTTTCAGTAAATTTTTCAAAAGTATCAAAGAGGAGTTTCGAATTTTTATCGAAAACTCCAGAAATTTCTCCAACTCTCCATTGAAAAAGAACAAATAAATATTGATGACCAGAATGAGAATCATTATGTCTAGCTTGAAATATGTTTAAAATTAAATAATGAAAAGTCCCAAATAAATACGATGTAAATCCATTCGAATTAAAATTAAATCTGGACCAACAAATTGAATTTTTTGCATTTTTAATTGAGTATAAAATTCCATTTCATAAAGGAATTGATTGATAGTTCCGTTTTTAGCATGTTGTTTATATAAAAACGTTAGAAAACGTTGACGAAATGCTAAAAATTGGAAAATGAATTATAAGTGAAAAATTACGAAGGAGAAAAAGACGGAAATAATAAATGGTCCAAGTCTTCCACGAGAATAAAGCGGAAGATGAACCCTTATAAAACATATAAATATATAAAACTTCACCTGTAAAAACTCCATCAATTCTATCATCTCCCAGATTCATTCTATTATCCCATAATTGATCATCATCCAAAACTGAAGGACCAATCTGCCTGAGAGGAATAAATGAACCAGAATGTTTATTGATGCCAAGAATGTGAATTGTTTGATGTTGAACAGAAAGAATTGCAAGTGTCCATTCCAATAAGTAAACACCGCTATGTACGTTAATTTCGTCAAAATCGAATTTATATTTCTCAACAAGTTGACCTTTCTATTAAGTATTTAATAAATAAAAAAATTTTTTTATATATTTAAATAGAATAAAAGATAAATAACAGAGAAATTTTTGAATTGCATAAAATAAGATTTCTGACAACGACCCACTAGGGAATTGTGAACCTAATGAAAAAAAAAAGTTTAAAAAGACTAAAACTAGCAAAAGTGGAAAAATAAAAGATATAAATCGAAAATGAATAGAAATTAAAGGGAAGATATATAAAATAATTTTAAACTTTATAAAAATAATTAAAAACCTCTAAATCAATTGAATAAAACACAAAATGCATTAGATGAGAATCTGGTGGAAGCGATTCCTGATTCTAAATTAAAAAAAAATAATCCATATAAATATTTAAAAAATTAACTCTTAAAATTCCATTAAAAGTTGAACGATTTTCTGGAACAGGAAAGGATGACAAAACAATCAAAAAGCGGGAATCAGGCGTAATAAAAGCACATTCTCTTGAAATTATACCAAAATAAAACGCTTCAGAAGAGCGTGGATTTCCAAGAGGGTTGATTAATTGGACAACAATTTTCTTTCGAAAAATTGCCTAAAAATATTTTAATAATTTTTTTAAATTGTTAAAATATGAAGAGAAGTATTGAATTTAAAAAATACCCAAAAAAGATTATTCCAAGTTTTATCAGCCCCAAATTGCACTCCAGCATAAGGAAAAATAAATATATCACGAAAATTAGGAGAAATTGCAATTAATTTACTTCCATCTGGTGTAAAGCGAAGTGGAAAGAATTGAGGTCTATCTACAGCATATTCATTCCTGGTTAATGAAATACTTTGATAAAATTCACGAGATCCTTTAATAAAATTGCTTCCTAATAAATATTTTTATTTAAAATTTTTCAAAGAGAAAAAGTTAAACCTTCCTTTCTTGTACCAAGTTCCCGGATGACAAGTAATTGAGCAATATTTGTAATAGGAAAACGTTTTCTTCGACACCAATCAACGTCATAAGGCTCACGCATTATTGGGATAATTAAAGTATGAAGAATATCAAGTTAGTATTCTTCAAAGGAAAAACGTTTATAATTAGAATAAAATTTTTTTTAGAAAAATCGCTAAATTTTTGTTGCTAGAAATCAGAGAAAGAAACGGGCAAAAGATAATTTGGCGAAATGTCCATAAAATAGATTTTGCTACAATTCATCCCTTATATTGAACATTTTTGTGAGAATTATTCAACGTCCGGCTGACGCATTTTTTAATGCCAGCTGGGTGAATGTTTTTATTTTTGAAGGTGTTTTATTTAAGTTTTTCTTGTATCATCATGGTCGTGCGATTAATAGTTTATATTTCATTCTATTTTGCTTTACATAATAAAAAAGATAACGATTTCAAAACCGCCATTTAATATTACCTATACTATTTCCACTGCAAAAAATCAATTAACGCAATTTTATTATATTTATTCCTTTTATATTTCCTCAATTTACTTTTCAACCAATAAAAAAAATCTAATTGTAAGTTATATCCAAGCATGCAAATTTTTCTATTTCAAACTTAATTTTACATTTAATTATTTTATTTTTAGATTTTAATTTCTAAATAAGCTACTGATTTCACATTTGCTCACTTTAATAAAAACTTTGAGTGATTTTGACGCAAGTTTATGCGATATAGCCGACTGGCTACAAACGACGACTCGTTAGACGAGTATACGCCACTGATGCTCAGCGATCAACAAGGAGTAAGTGGGACATCGCCTCAACATCATCATTTGAATACAGCTGACAACGCTCATTTGCTTCCAATTCTGTGTCCGTCAGTGCAGAGCAGTGTTGGAGGCGGAAGCAGCTTTGGGTCAAACCGGTCCGGATTCTTTAATATGTTACAGTAAGTTGATTTTATAAATATATGAAACTGAAATTATAATTAGGGTTGCTGTTTCGAGTCGGGCCGACGTTCGAGTCATTTTCGGGCCTCATTTTTATCGTGCCGGCCCGACCGAGTCTTTTTCGGGCTTCATTTTTATTGAGTCAGGCATTGAGTCTTTTTCGGGCCAAAATTCGATGCCCGACTCGATATTTCGGACCGGGCCGGCAACCCTAATTATAATATGGAAACTGGGGGGAGGGAGGGGGTGAGAGTTGTCTTTTGATATATTTTCTGATTATTCTAATTTACTTTTCTTATCCCTTTCTTTCAATTTGATTATTTCATATCGTTTAATCCCTTCGGCACTCTTTTCAATTGATCTAACATAAGAATCCGCTTTCAATTACATATTTAAGGTTTAGGAATTAAAGCAATTTATAAAGTGGAAAGCAATTTATTATTTTTTATAATTCTTATCAGTAAAAAACTTAAATATTGCCATGAATCTATTTGTAAAAAACAATATATTATCTCAATTGATTTTTAATTTTCTTATGCCACGTTTTGTTACAAACGAGCATTTCTGGGCGAAAGAAGTGCTCTATATATTTTCCCCCAAAAATACAATGGAATGCATGCTAATCGGTTTAACCACTTACCATTGCATTGTGTTTCATTGCGCCCTTAAACCCCCATCAACAACAAAAACGATTGAATTATAAAATACAATCAATTGTTTTGTTGTCCCTTCTCTCCCTTATAGACCTTTTATTGTATTTATGTTAATGCTTTTATATATATCTTTACTGTTAAATATGTTTAGAAATTGTAGAATTTATCGAGTAAATGAGCAACAATTTTCTCTTCGAAAGTAATAAACTTTTGGTATTTTTTAAGATTAGCTTTAGTATCTTTTTCTTTTATTTCTGGTTTAGAAATTAAATTTTTTGCACTAAAATAGCTATTAAATTAGCTTTTATATTTTCTAAAAAATTTTTTTTTCAGGTGCTTCAAAGGCCTTTTTCGCCGCAAACGTGTTCGGCACGCGCGCACAATTAGAATTGGCCATGGCCCTGTTTGTACAGGTGGTCATTCGTTCCCACCAAATGTCATCTGTAACAGAAAATATAATATATTTACTTTTGTTCCAATGGTTTCTTAAAATTTATTTTCCATTTCATTATTATTTTTAAGGTTCTTTTCCAACAATTCAAATTTTTTCTCAATCTTTATTTTTTGCTCATGGCTTGTAGTCAATTCTTTCCGCCTATCCAAATTGGATCACCAATTACTTACTGGGGACCTTTGGTATTTTAAATTTACTTATCTTATATATTTTATTTTTAGGGATTTGTTCTCCTTATTACCTTAATTCGTGAATTTACCGATGATATGGTTCGTTTAATTCGTGATAAAGAAGTGAACAGTGAAAAATATGAAAAGATTACTTCTACAGGGAAAATACTTGTGAAGAGCGCGTTAGTTTTAAAATTGTTTTTAATTTTTAAATTATGATTTTTAAGCGAGATTCAAGTGGGCGATTTGGTTGTTATTGAAAAGGATAGAAGAATTCCTGCGGATGTTGTATTGTTGCGGACAACTGAAAAATCTGGCGCTTGTTTTATTAGGACCGATCAGGTTTTTTATAAAAATTATTTTGTGAGGACAATTTTTTTAATTTTTAGTTGGATGGTGAAACTGATTGGAAACTTCGAGTAGCTGTTCCATACACTCAAAATTTGGTCGATGAACGTTTAATTTTGGATTTAAATTGTGAAGTTTATGCAGAGAAACCACAAAAGGACATTCATGCGTTTGTTGGAACATATAGGGTTTTTATTTTTTAAATCATTTTATCTTTTAATCCTTTAAAGATAAATGCCGAAGATTGTTCTCATGACGGGTCTTTATCTGTTGAGAATGTTCTGTGGGCAAATACTGTGTTGGCTAGTGGAACGGCTATCGGTTTAGTTGTTTATACAGGAAGGGAAACGCGTTCTGTCATGAATACAACATTACCAGATAGCAAAGTTGGATTAATTGATAGAGAGGTTTTGTTATTTTTTAAAAAGTATTTTTAAGTAAATTTAGGTGAACAATTTGACGAAAATTCTTTTTCTTTTTGTTCTTACACTTGCCTCTGTGATGGTAGTGATGAAGGGATTAGACACCTACTGGTATAGATATTTGATGCGTTTTGTTCTTCTGTTTTCTTACATTATTCCTATCTCACTCCGGGTTAATTTGGATATGGCGAAGCTTTTCTATACATGGCAGATTGGTAGAGACAAAAATATTCCTGAAACTGTTGTTCGATCAAGCACGATCCCTGAAGAGTTGGGACGAATAGCTTTTCTTCTTTCTGATAAAACTGGAACATTAACTCGAAATGAAATGAGATTTAAAAAGGTCTGAAAAAGTTTTTCTATTTTTTAAATATATTTTTTAGATTCATCTTGGAAGTACTTCTTTTGGGGGAGAAACGTTTTCTGATGTTAGAATGCACGTTGAGTCAGCTTACGGAGGAAAACTTGCTCGAAATTCATTTTCCGTTAAATTGCAGACCGCTGTTGAGGCAATTGCGCTCTGCCATAATGTTACACCAATTGATGAGAAAGGGAAAGCAACATTCTACCAGGCGGCTTCACCAGATGAGGTTTCTAATTTACAATAGTTTTTTAATTGTCTAAATATGTAATCTGGTTCAGGTTGCGCTGGTACAATGGACAGAACAGGTTGGGGTGAAGCTTGCTAAACGTGATCTAGCTTCTATGCACCTTGAATTGAGCGGAAATAGGATTAAATCCTTTCAAATTCTCCATCTTTTCCCCTTCACTTCTGAATCTAAAAGAATGGGCATTATTGTCCGAGATGAACACACTGATGAAGTTTCTCTTATAATGAAAGGTGCTGATACAGTTATGGCTCAAATGGTTCAATACAACGATTGGCTAGATGAGGAATGTTCAAACATGGCAAGGGAAGGTTAGTGCTCTTAAGGTAATTAATTCTAAATTTAAATTATACAGGTCTTCGAACATTAGTTGTAGCAAAGAAGGTTCTTAGCAAAGAACAACTTGCCGATTTTGAACGTGAATATCATCGTGCCAAAATGACAGTTACTGATCGAATGGAGAATATGGCAGCAGTTGTACGACTATTGGAGAATGATTTGCAATTACTTTGTTTAACAGGTGTCGAGGATAGGCTTCAAGTTTGTCTTATTTTTCAGTACATATTAGTAAAGTCGTGAACCGAGAATAACTAGTATCTTTATAATCTCATGTTTTACCTTATTAGTTCTAGGTTTTGACTTAAATGTTTATTTCAATAGGACCAAGTAACGACTTCGCTTGAACTTCTTCGTAATGCTGGCATCAAAATCTGGATGTTGACCGGAGATAAAATGGAAACTGCCATTTGCATTGCTAAATCCTCTGGACTTTTTTCTAAAACAGATAGTGTTCATGTTTTTGGACATGTCCGCGATAGAACAGAAGCACATAATGAATTGAATGCTTTAAGAAAGTATGTGTACTTTGATATTCTTATTTTGCATCTTTTTAACTTTTTTTAAGGAAGAACGACGTTTCCCTTGTAATATCTGGCGCATCTTTAAATATTTGCCTTCAGTATTATGAGGCTGAAGTTGCTGAATTAGTTTGTTCGTGTAAAGCAGTTGTCTCATGTCGATGTTCCCCTGAACAAAAAGCACAAATTGTCAATCTATTAAAAAAGTATAGACACCCACTTCGTGTTGCAGCTATTGGTGATGGAGGTAATGATGTCTCAATGATACAAGCGGCACATGCAGGAATTGGAATTGACGCAAATGAAGGTAAAAAAAATTCATAATTTCAATTATATGTTAAGTATTTTATAGGAAAACAAGCCTCCTTAGCCGCCGACTTTTCTATAACACAATTTTCACATATCTGTCGTTTGCTTTTAGTCCATGGACGTTTCTGTTATAAACGTTCCTGTGCGCTTTCACAGTTCGTTATGCACCGAGGACTAATTATTTCAACGATGCAGGCAATATTTTCATGTGTTTTTTATTTTGCATCTGTGTCGCTCTATCAAGGTGTTCTTATGGTTGCGTAAGTTTTTTATTAAATATATCAATTCTTAATTTCTATATCCCTAGTTATTCTACTGCTTATACAATGCTTCCTGTTTTTTCACTTGTCGTTGATAGGGATGTAACGGCACAGAATGCATTAACTTATCCTGAACTTTATAAAGAATTAGGCAAAGGGCGTTCTCTTTCGTATAAAACTTTTTGTATTTGGGTTATGATAAGTATATATCAAGGTATTTTTTAAAAGAATTTTATTAACTTGTAAAAAAATTTTTTAAAGGTTCAATTATAATGTATGGGGCACTTTATGCATTCGATGAAGATTTTATCCATATTGTCTCAATTAGTTTTTCGGCTCTTATTATAACTGAACTTGTAATGGTAGCAATGACAGTCCATACATGGCATTGGGCTATGTTAATGGCTCAGGTTTTTATTTAATATTTAGAAAATTTTAATTTTAAAATTTTATTAGGCACTTTCTTTGAGTCTTTATGGGGCTTCTCTTGTAATTTTTGACCGATATTTTGACCGTCAGTTTGTGCTCTCGTCTGAATTTATTGTTAAAACAACAGCAATTACTTTAATTTCTTGTATGCCTTTATATGTTATTAAATTTTTGCGAAGACGTTTTTCACCTCCTTCTTATGCAAAAGTTAATTGACGAAGATTGAAAAGATTTATTTTAACATAGAAGAGTGTTAAATAACTGAATATACTGATAACTTCCTTTTTTTATATTTCCATTTTTAATTGACTAGATTATTTTTTGAAAGGTGATTAATTTAAATTAATCATTTTTATTTGTAAAGACAATTGTCTCGGGTTTATCTTGTTTTGATTTTTTGAGGTTTTTTAATTTTGTGAAATGAAAATTATATTAATTAGTAATAAAATCAAAACATTCCTTTCGTAAAATTGTTTAATTTAATGATATCCTTATTTTATTTTTCATTTTATACCATTATTTGATACATTGACCGATATGTGCATGAGTGATATCCTTCCTAATACTCTAAAATCCCCTTAAAAAATTACTGTTTATTATAACCGGTGCTGGGTATGGCTCCGGGGCCGGCTCCACTAGAAGTTGCAATACCCTGCTCTGACTATAACTAAAAAAATTTTTAATCTTCCAATGCACATACACTTATATTTTAATTTCTCCAAAATATACATAAAAACTCTCAAAATATAATTTTATATAATTATGCGAGTAAAAACATTTTTCAACGAGGAATTATTTTTTATTTTGGTTTTGAACCATTTTTTAATTTTTTTAATTTTTTATTAATTTATTTTAATTGTTTTTAAGAAAAATGACTTTATTCTTCTCTCTTTGTTGCTTCTCAATATCTTTTACTCCTTCAATGATGCTTTTCAGACGGTTGGTTGTCTCTGATCCATTGCGAATCATTCTTTTTGTTCTTGGGTTTGTTCTTAATTTTTTAAACATAGTGAGCCTCAAGAGTTTGACAAAATCAGAGTTGGAGTTACTTGTTGAGACTCGCGTATTAAAATATTAATATGTATAATAATTTTAGAGCATTTTTCTGGCTACTTTCTCTTTTGTTTACTTCATTACTTTGGACAGTCTCAAATAATTTATGTGCAATTTTTATTTGTTCTATATTGCTTCAAGAAGTTGCCAGATCCGTTTATTATTTTTTACTTTACAAGGCACAAAGGTAAAATGTGAATTACTTTTTTAAATTCTTTTCAAACTTTTAGTGGTTTAACTAAATTAGTTTCTGATGGAACGGACATTTCTGGCTTTCGTTTAATGTTTTCATCTAGGCATGTCCTTGCTATTGTTTGTGGTCTTGGTATGGGTGTAATGGCTTCTTTGTTTTTATTAACAAATATTCTCGCTGATTATTCTGATGACGGAGTTGTTGGTTTGCCATCAGAGATCTTTGGAAATGGGGTAAATTTGGAAATTATTTGTTTAAAAATAAGTATTTCTCATTTTCAGAGCACAAAAACCGTAAAACTTCACGACATCGATGCTTATTTTCCAATTTATTATTCACTCTCTTGCTCCTTTTTAACTCTTTTCAACGTTCTTTGGACAATTAATTTATGGGATGGATTACATAAATATTTCCATAATACAATTGATTCTACTGTTTTGATAATTATCTTTATTCTTACATTTATTTTTCATGGAACTAATTCTTTATTGGTAACTAAAAATATAATTTAAAAATTATATTTATTTATTTAGAGTGTCTGGTTACGAAGTTCACCAAATAAAATTTTATTATCTCAACTTGCTTTACTTTTTGTTACTTCATTTTATTCTTCTTGTATTATAAAGAATTATAAATTAACAATATTTCAGAGAAGAAATAATGCTGATCTCTAAATTATATTTTTAATATTTAAATTTTTATATTGTTTCTGATTTATTTTTGTAAAATCTTTTGACGCTTTTGTTTAATTGTTTGTTTAAAAGAATTGGTAATTTGCATTTTATAAAATATTAACAAAATAAAACAAAAATTATTTTAACTCTCTTTATCTTTAAAAAATCAGAAAAGTTGCCCTCCACTGTGATAAAGCTGAACAAGACGTCTAAGAACTGCTCTCTGATCAACCGATTCGAAAACATGGGGAGCAGAAAGTAAAACGCCTAAAGTACCACCCAAAGTTATGCCAAAAAAGATTAATAAAAGAAGTCGGTCAATAACCATTGCAACATATCTCCAGTCATCTCTATGCTGAAAATAAATTATTTTAAATTTAATGTACAAGTTTTCACACGTAGCTCTTTTACGTTTGATTATTCCCCAACCTTAACTCCCACTCTTGGTAAAGTTAAATAAAAGTTTTGGATAAACATTAGGGATTTCCGTGCGACATAAATTGTTTGATTAATTTTAAGATTTTACAGTTTTATGTTCCTCTTCTTTTCTTAAATGATCAGTAATATAATCAATTGCTTTAATTGCCCTTATAGCATCAGAACTTAAAGGAAAAGCTTCAGAAGATATTTCCCTTGTTTCTCTGTTGTTATTCCAATTTCCACTAATTTCTCGAGAAGACATCTCTATTTGATCATTACTTTCCATACAATGTGGATGATGTCTTGAAGGCCCTGTTAAGGCAAAACGACCAATCCCTGGCAGAATTGCTGCTGCAGCTGAAGCCAATCCTCTAGCTGAGGAATTCCCGGTTATTCCATTATTTATTGAAATTGTATGTCCTGAACGGGCAAGTTTAGAACCAAAACCAGCAGCATGTCTATAAACTATTGGATGTCTTCTTGGTCGGCGCATACAAAGTAATCGAGGAATAAATCTTATAATGAAGAGAAAATCAGTAAAACATTTTTTCCATACTTGAGAAAAACAGAGCGAACCCATCCAGGCATTTGATGAGTTATTGGAGACCGAAAATAAATATTTATAATAATTACAGTAACCAAAATAGTAATAACATTTAAAACAAAAGTTAACTAAAAAATAAATAATTATTTCTAAATTATAAATTAATTAAATACAAGTAAATATTTAGCCATTAAAGGAATTGTAGATGATGTTGGAGGTAATATTTTTGAAACAAGAAGTAAAAATACAACAATAGAAAGAAGAACAGAAATCTTTTTTTTTTTAATTTAAATTATTTTTAAATAATTTCATTTACAGTTAAAGTCATTTTCTCCCCAGAATCTGTTGGTAAAAAAAATACAGCCATTGATAGAAAGGCCATTAAAACTGTTGGAATTATTAAAACAACTGTATAAAAAAGAGCTTTTCGACGTAATCTAAGCTGATATTCAATTCTGGAACGTTGATTGACTAATGTTGCTGGGGCTCCTTTCAAATATTAAATTAAAAAAATATTTAAAAATATTTATTTAAAAATAGGGTTGTTCCCCGTCTGAGGGGGGGGGGTCTCTCAAATTCCCCTACTTTCGGGGAACAACCCTATTTAAAAATTATTTATTTACCAACAACATCCCATATTTTAGATTCTCCATATTCTAATAAATCTATCCCGGCTGATTTATCAAAATCCATTTTAATTTCTTTTTCATTATACTTTTAAATAAATAAATATTTAAATTATTTTATTTAATTTACCGTCCAAGAACCAAAAATTAAATGGCAAACTTTAAATTAAAAAAATATTTTTATTTTATTTTTAAAAATTTTACTTTGTTCATCAAAAGGAAAATATTCAACATCTTTAAATAATTTAATTAAAAAAATATTTATTTATTAAAAATTACCAATAATACAGGAACTTTTATAAATAGCTGGGGGTACCCAAAGCATATCCCCATTATATTGAATAACAACATTTGACATATAAGAGACTTCATAATTACCGTCAGCATTATTAAAAAGAACAATATCTGGAAGCCAAACTTTGTCTAAAGAAACACGCCTGAAATTAGAAATCTCTTTAATAAATAAATATTCTTTCTCTCTTACAAATCTTTAACTCCTCCATAATTTACTGGATTCCATTTCAATTGAAAATCCTTTTTTAAAATTTATTTTTAAAATTAAATAGTAATTAATTAACTAACATGCCATTTTAAAGTTAACCAAACATTTGATTGCATTATCTTTTTAAATTTAAATTTAGACATACAAAGGAGGAGAGTGCCTGAAGTGTCAGAGGTACTAAAGTAGGGTATGATCTATCTGTCTACCAAATTTCATACCTCAGGCACTCTCCTTTGTTAGTTAATTACTTGATCTTTTTCATCAACATTAATTAAAAGTAAAAGTTGCAGCCCCATTTTAACAGTAAGTGGCTGGCTTGAATTTCTCATTGGCAAAATTAAAGAATTATAGCCACGGAAAATATCAACCTTTTTTAAATTTAAAATTAAAATAATTTTAAATTAAATTAATAACCATTAATCTTTCTTCCTCATCACTTCCAAAAATTAAAGAAAATTTAATTAAAAAAATAAAAAAATAAATAGTAAATATTTTGGGAGGAAAAATTAACATTAAAAAATTTTATTTTTTAATTAAAATAATAATAAATCAAAAATAATTTTTTTTTGTAATATTTTTCTTCAAATTTTTAAACTTTTCTAGCAAAAATAAGAAAAATAAATAATTCCTAACAACAGCTGTTAAATATTTTTAGTTTATTTAAAAAGTTATTTTCGAGGAAAGAATTGAGCTGAAAATTAATGAAAAAAGGATGTTATGGAGAAAAGAAAATTTTTATTAGAAAAATAAAAATAACCATTAAATTTTTATTAAATTATTTTTAAAAATGTTGCCATTAAATATTTAAATTAAAAAAATATTTTCTTTAAATTTTTAAAATTTCATTTCAGCTTCAGCAGAACGTTTAAGTTGTGTAATAACTTGTGTTTGATTAACATTTTCGAAAATATTTGGAGCAGAACAGAGAATTCCTTTAAATAATTAATTAAATAAATTAAAAGAAAAAAGAATCCTCAAACCAATTGTCCCACCAACAGTTACTCCGAAGAAAATATAGAGAAGTAAACGGTCAATTACCTAAAATTAAATTTAAATTTTTCAAGAAAAGCTAATTTATTCCGAAGTGCTACAATTTAGACGGAAATAAAATTAGGTATCCGACAATAAGAGATTAAGGGGATATTCGGTGTTATCATCCAGAGTCGAAAATAATGAGGAGTTTGATATTAAGGAATAGATAAAAGTTTGATTTTCCAAAAACTTTAATAATAATTTTTTCAAATTGTTATTTTTTAAATTTATATGTATATATTTCTAATTTCTGATTTAAATTTAAATATCCCCTCCATACCATAGCAACAAATCTCCACTCTTCACGTATTTTTTTATTAATATTTTCTCTTCGTAAATGTTCTGTAATACAATCAACAGCATCCATTGCTTTTAAAACTTGTTCATTTAGAAGTTCACTATCCTCAGTTCCCAATTCTCGATGGGAAGGGAAAGGGGCGGGAGTGACCTTTTTTTTGAAATTATTTTTTGAAAATTTAAATTTAAATACCACAGGTTGGGACATTCTCCTCTTACGTAATTTTTGTTTATGTTTTTCTTGTTTTTGTAAATAAATTAATGGTTCTATAAATTCTGAACAATTTGGATGATGAAAATACTTTTAAATTTAAATAAATAATTATTTTTAAATAAAGATTTAGGTACTTTTTTAGTTTTATTCATTTCAATAAACTTTCCAGGCTTAAAATTTTGTTTAGTTTGTGTTGTCGAAGAATTTAAAGAAAATTTTTTTGAATTAAAATCTTTAAAAACATTTTGTGGTCTATTCATCATTAAAAGAAGGGGTAATTTACAAATAAATATTGAATAAACCCAAGGGGGCATTTTGTGTGTTGTTGGCCCTCGGAAGTAAATATTAATAATTATTACAGTCACAATAATTGTTATTATATTTAAAACTTAAAAAAAGGAAATTAGGGAAGAAAATAATTTAAATTAAAAACCAAAAATCATTAATAAATATTTGGCCATTAAAGGTATAGTGTCAGATGTTGGAGGTAATATTTTTGATACAAGAAGTAAAAATACAACTAAAGCAAGTAAAATACTTATAGCTAAAGTTATTTTTTCGTTAGCTTCAGCAGGCAGGTAGAAAACAAGCATTGAAAGAAAAGCCATTAAAACAGTTGGAATAATTAGAATTACTGTGTAGAAGAGGGTTTTTCTTTAAATTTAAATTAATTTTAACAATTATTGTAGATGTCCAGTTGATGTCCTATTTGTCTGCAAAAGCAAACAGGTAGAACATCAATTGGACATTTACTAACAATTAATTCTGACAAAAATTGGAAAAAATAAAATATGACTTAGAACTTTAAAGTTCATCGATATCAAAAGATGCCAGGGCTCTAGGTACAGAAAAAACCCAGGCTTTGATCAGACCCAGTTAGATCTCTACAAGACAGATTATTGACTCAAATAAAGTGCCATAATTTAATTATTATTTTTTATTCGTTATTTATTTATTTACTTTAATAAATTTAAATTAAATTTACCTTCTAATTTTTATTTGATAAGATATTTTACTTTTTTGATGAATTAATTGTCCAGGTACTTCCATTAAATCCCAAATAGCACTTTCAGAATAATCATTTAATTCTACTTGCCTTTTATTCCCCAAATAACTAATTATTACCTTTTTTTAAATTTAATCGGTAATTTAAAAATTAATTAAATTTTTACTTCATTTTTATTAAAAGTCCACGATCCAAATATCATTGCACAAGTTTGTTCATCAAAAGGAAAAAACTTTAAAATAAATTTATTTAAAAAGTATATTTATTTAAATACTTCAACATCTATTATACAAGAACTTTTGTAAATTGCTGGAGGGACCTTTTAAAAGAAAAAAAGAGAAAATTATTGGGATTATTACAAAAAATATAAATTTTGTAAAACAATCCCCCCCCCCTCCAGGGAGAATATTTAGAAATAGAGACTATTTTAATTTTTAATTAAGAATACCCAAAGCATTTCTCCATTACTTTCTATTACCTTTAAATTAAAATTATTTTTCTCTTTACTTTTATTTAAAAATTATCTTACAACATTTGAGTAGAAAGCTGAAAGAAAAATAAATTATAAAAATATTCTTTAAATTAATAATTATTTTGTATCAAGTTGACGATAAATTTAAGGGAAATATTATTCCAAAAAATGACTATTTAAATTTAAAAACAAAGAAAAAACATACAAACTTCATAATTACCATCAGCATTATTAAAACTAACAAAATATATTTTTAAATTTTAAAAATCAAAATCACTAACAGAACAATATCCGGTAACCAAACTTTTTCTGGAGGAACACGAATTGTTCGAATATTTTCATAATCAGAAGGATTCCTTTTTTAATTATATATGAGGAATTCCTTTAAATAAATAACCATTTCATTTGATAATCAATCCATTTCATTGTCGGCCAAACATTTGTTTGCATTATTTGATTCTTCTCGTCAACATTAATTAACAAAATTAAAGCCAACGAAAAACGAATTTCTAACGGAGAATTACTTAAATTGGCAACAGGCCTAATTAAATGATTGTAACCACGAAACAAATCTTTAATTAAACGTTCTTCTGCTAATGATGAATAAACAAATTTTCTTGCCAGAAAAACTTTAAAAAATAAAAATAAATTTAAAAAATACAAAATAAATATGTACATAGAGAGGAAAGTAATTAAGAGGTTGTTGGCTACCGGTAATGAAACCAAAAATTTTGATATTTCTTACCAAAAATTAATCGGTTAATATAAAATTTAAAAACTGAAAATTCTGAATCTTCAAAATAAAATTGTCATTTAATTAAAACTCAAAACCGAGAGACTCGTTAATAACTGGTTGCCAATAATCATAAAGATAATAATGAGAAATAAATAATAAAATAATAAAATATTTATGAATTTATTAAAAAAATTTTTTCATGCCAAGAGGTTTATAAAAAATAAAAAATAAAAAATATAATTAATTTAAATTTAATCATCAAAAATTTCAATTCTATTTTTGGCAATTAATTGTTTAATAACTTTTTGTTGATCAACTTGTTCAAAAATATGTGGAACAGTTAATATAATAGCTACAGCCCCTCCCAAAGTAATTCCAAAAAATAAAAGAGAAAGTAAACGGTCAATAACCATCGAAATAAAACGCCATTCATCACGAACCTTTTTTTTAAATTAAAAAATATTTAATTTAATTAAAAAAACTTTTTTATCATCCATTTCTGCTCGAATATGTTCGGAAATAAATTGGACACCAGAAACTCCTTTAGCCATTAAATTACTTAATTCTTCTTGTTTTTCAATTAAATTTTGAGAAAATTTATTTAAAAATAAATATTTAGAAGAAGAAGAATTATTAAATATTCCTTTTTGTAATTTTCTTAATTGTGGAAGTGGAGAGCCGGGAGAACGATCAAAATATCTTTAAAAATTTAAATTAAAAACATAAAAGATTAGGGAAAATATTTATTAAATTATTCACCCCATTAAAACTAATTCCCATCAAGGAAAACTTGTCCTTTCAATTAGCGGGCGCCTCTATTTTTTAATGCGTAGACAAACTTCTAGAAAATTATAGCAAAAACTCTTAGCTTTCCAAAATTCTCAAAATTTCGCCTGTAGAGCTAAACTAAAATGTCCTATATCTGAATACCAATATTCTGACATAATGGAGCGTTTTGCTTTCTCTTGCGATCACCACAGATCGGGAGGGATTTGGAATTCCCTATATTACCTTCTCTCTTTTTGACTTTGTGTTGTTAAAAAACGTTTTCTTCTACTAATTTGCTTCTTTTTTAATTTTGTATTATTATTTAAAGATAAATTTCTCGAAATATTAAATGGAAGAGTATTACTGTTGTCAACTCCAATTTCTGTATTTTGTTGATCAACTTCTGCTAATCTTTTACCTCCCCTAACGTTTAATGGACGGTGACGAATAGAAGAAATCCCGAAATTTCTTCGAAGGGGTTGTGGAAGTGGCATACAGAGAAGTTTTGGTAAAAAATTTAAAAATAAAATTCGAACAGATTGAGGCATTTGGTGGGTTAATGCAGAACGAAAATGGACATTTAAAACACAAACTGTTGACATTATTGTTATTATATTCATTACTAGAAAATTTAGGTAAATTTGTTTTTTAAATTGTTTAATAGGAAATCGCGATTAAGAGAAATTGGAATTAAGAGAATTATACAGGCTTGGAATTTAAGCTAAGCTTTCTATGTTTAATTATAAAAACATTCGTGGTTAATTAAATAATAAATTGCTTTTTTGGAATTTCTAATTAGTATTTTAAATTAATTTAAAAAATAGTAATTCTTAAAAATATTTTCAACAAATATTTTAACTATAAACAAAACCTACCAAAAGTCATTAATAAATATTTGGCCATTAAAGGAATTGTGTCAGATGTTGGAGGTAATATTTTTGATACAAGAAGTAAAAATACAACTAAAGCAAGTAAAATACTTATAGCTAAAGTTATTTTCTCTGAACATTCTGCAGGTAAATAAAAAACAAGCATCGAAAGAAAGGCCATTAATACAGTTGGAATAATTAGAATAATTGTGTAAAACAAAGTTTTCCTTCTAATAACAATTCTAAATTCAACTCTACTTTTATCTAAAGACATTCTTCCAGGGACATCCATTATATCCCAAATACCGGAAGGGGAATAATCCTCTAAATCAACAAAACGCTTATTTCCATACCATCTAAGTTGGACTTCCTTTGAAGAATATGTCCACGAACCAAATAATAACTTTAAAAATAAAACTAATTAATAAAACTTTTATTTAAATTTTAATTAAAGTTCTATACTATTTATTCCAAAATAATGTAAGGATCAAAGGTATTCCAAAAGTTTGTTTCCTATAGTTTATAGCCATTTTAAGGTTTTAATATTATTTGGATTTAATAAATAAATTGTGTTCAATTGTGTGTGTCCGGTGAAGGAGATCAACAGAGGGCCTGATTAACCCTTGAATTTATCCTAGGAAGTCCCAGGCATATCCTCTCCATTATTCTGGGGTTTGGGCTCACAACATTGGAAACATCTTATAGTCCCAACTCTATTATAATTATTTAAATTCCCTACCATACACGTTTGTTCATCAAAAGGAAAATATTCAACATCTAATAATTTAAAAAATTTATTTTAATTATTTAAATCCTCCCCCTACCTATTCTACAAGAACTTTTATAAATTGCTGGGGGTACCCAACTAACATTTCCTTGATAATCAACAACAACATTACTTTGGTAACTAACTTCATAATTCCCATCAGCACTTAAATTTTAATTTAAAAAATTTTTTAAAGAACAAATTACTTATTAAATAAAACAATATCGGGCACCCAAACTCTGTCAACGGGGACTCTAATACTTTCAATATTGCTGTAGTCTTTTGGATTCCAACTAAAAAAATTGGAAAATATTTTCCTTTATTTTCCCTCTCAACCACCTAAATTGGCAATCATTCCATTTCATTGTTAACCAAGCATTTGACTGCATTACTTGATTTTTTTCATCAACATTAATTAATAAAATCATTGCCATACCAAAATCTACATAAATAATTGTTTGGTTATAACAAGGGGATGGACGTATTAATGAATTATATCCTTTAAATATATTTATTGCTAAACGTTCTTCATCATCAATAAATAAATTATTATTTAGTTGATCTAAAAGAAAATATTGAAATTTAAATGAATATCATATATCCTATATTAATTAGCCTCCCTTAAGTAATCACCCCACGTCTATTAATAACCCCATCCAGCGACAGATTGAAATACCCCCCCCCCCCCATTAAATGCTCTAAACACGTAAATTCCAAACCCTCCCTCGATTAATTACTCACTCCAACGGAAGGTAAACAATAATTACTCAGGGTAGTTAGTAAAAGTTTTACGATATGTGGAATTAAAAGGAGAAATATTCAAGAGGGGAGAGTTCTCGAACAATTTGGCTACACAAATCCCGAATAAGAAAATATTAAGGAATCCAAGGCAAACACTGGGAAATATAGTTAAACGAAATTTTTTTAGAAAAATTGGCTGGAATTAGCCGAAAAATTTAATTTAAATACCAAAAAGGTAAAAAATAATTTTCTTACCTAAATTTTTCGATTTATTAATTATTGTTATATTTTTCTTCCTTTCAGGTAATATTTTAATTGCCAAAGAATTAATTTGTAATAAAATAAAAAATAAATTTATTTTTATCATTTTCAGAAAGAAAAACTTTCTTTATAAAAAAGGAAAAATAAAAATACAATTGAAAAAAAAAATAAAAGAAAAAAAGGGAAACAATGAAAAATGGCTAAATAAAAATATATAGCAATTCAAAACAATTGGATTAAAGGCGCAAAAAAAAGAAAAAACCTCTTGGCATTGAAAAGTAAAATGAAAAAGAATTTTAAATATTAAAGTTAGAATTAATTTATATAAATTAATTTTAAAAAGTTTTTTTAATTAAAGAGAATATTTTATTAATTTTGTAAAGAAAAAAAATAATTTTTAAAATAACTAAATTACCGTAAAATCTGTATTAATTAAATTAGCCTCCCACAAATAATTATCCCACTTAAGTTAATTACCCCCTTCAGCGATAGATTGAAATAATAATTACCCCCCCATCAAATGCCCCAAAACACGTTCAGATTTTAAACCTCATAAAACCTCATATACATAATTACCCTCTCTCAATTAATTACTCCCTCCATAGGAAGATCGAAACAATAATTACCCAGGGTAATTATTCAAAGCTTTACGGTAATTTCATACTCCCTTTAATAGAAGTCAGAGTTTATTTTTCTTTTAAAATAAAATTAATTTTTAAAAATTTCCTTTAAAAATATTTCTTTTTACCTGAAAATGTAACAAATAAAGTAAAAATTTCCATATATCTAGCCAAATAAAATATTTTAAGCATTTTATTTTGTCGTTTATTTCATTTAAAAAAAATAAAATTAGAAAAATTTAAAAGATTTTTTGTGACAATTTTTGACTGATGGATGTTTCTACTATTTATTTTTAACCGATAATAAAAAGATTAAAAGAAATTTAAAAGGAAAACATTTTTGGAAAGAAATTTAAAATATAAGGAATTAAATTTTGGGGAGGGAGGGGGGGAAGGGGGGAATTTAAAAGGGAAAAATAAAAGAATTTTTTTGAAGTCTTTTTTAACCAAAAAAAATAAATTAGAAAATTGTCAAAAAATAATAGTTTTGGCCTTTTTATTTATTTAGTTAGCTAATTCTTTCTTATTTAAAAAGGAGAAAAATTGATGAAAAAAATATTAAGAAGGAGAATTTAAACAAAAACAAATAATTATTTTTAAATTAAGTACAAACAGATTTTAATGTTAAATAATTAATTGGAGGTGAAAAATTAAAAGTAAAATTGAGGTATTGAAGAAATTTGTGTATTTATTGTTTATCCGCTTCCCTATAAACTCTTGAAAATTTATGTTAAATTTAAAGTATATACATATTATATTTTTTGGGTATATTTATGTAAAATCAAAATCGAACTTTTTTTTAAAAATTATTTATCACAAAAACTCAAGCAAAAATTAGGAACAATAATTATTTTTAAAATTCTTTCTAATCACTTTTTTTATTTTCTAACAACAAATATTTGTCTGTATTTGTAATTAAAATATACAAAACAATCCAAACAGAAATCCAAATCATTGCAAAAGGAAATAATGTTAACAAAATTAAAAAATTTCCACTACTCATTCCCCAATCTACTTTTTGTTCTTCTTGTAATCTATATTCTTCCATTGATTCTGTTACAGCTGTTTGGTTAAGCAAAAATTTGTAATAAATTTCTCCAAGTTTACCATGCTTTAAAAATAATTTTTGGGGGAGATTAAGGAAGGAAATAAAAAAACTTTAAATGTTGTAACATGCTCCTGATTAATACAATATCCTTGAGTATTTTGAAGACCATCTTTCAATCCCAACATTAATACATGACCACAGAAAATAGAAAAAATAAATATTTTAAGCATTATTCTGTTAAAAATCTAAAAGAATATTTTTAGGTAGACAATAAAATTAATTGAAATTTTTTCAATTTTAAAAGTAAAAATCAACTCATAAAATTCTAAAAAAATTTAAGAAACTTCTTTCATTGAATCTTTTGATCTTTAAAAATACTTTAAGTAAAAAGTTTGCACGTCAAAAAATTTAAAAAATATTTTTAATATTTTTAAATAAATAAAAATCAAATATATTTAAATTAGAAAATTAGTTTTATTACAAATAATTAAATATATTACAATTAAATATATTTTGATTTTAAGAAATACAATCAAAATAAACAAAAATAGTATACAATGCAAAAATAAATTGTCGACATTGTCACTAAATCAAATTAATTGTATATAGGGACTAAACAACGATTAAAGTTATAATTTTTATGTATGTGCTCTATATATAAAAAAAAGCAAAAGCAATGTAAAGAAAAGAGAATTTAAAAAAAAGGTAGTAAATCCTGTACAAAAATCCCTATTTTTTAATTTCCCTTCTCTTTAAAATAGTAATAAAAAGGGGGAGAGAGAGACAAATCACAAAATATAATTTTGATGTTGCCCTCAAATAGGCAATTAATTGTCGTTGTTTTTCTTTCTTTCTTAAAAACATCAAAATATAATTCAAGGCAACGGCATTAATTCGTCTACAGTATCGTGCTGCCGTTTCATTTTCCCACCTCCATTATTGTTATTTTTGTCAGCAATGCCCCCACCATTGTTTATGATTATATCCTGTTTTTGTTGTGCTTGCTGTTGCAAGAGCCGCTGATTACGGCAACGACAAACAGAAATTACTTTATTGCCTTGTCCAATATATGCACGCACAGAGGATTCCATCACAAGTACCTAAAAATAAATAAAATTAAAAGAATTTTAATTTAAAAAAACCTTCAAATATTCCAAATATTTTGGTCCAGATTTGCTATTCTTTTGAAGTCGATCATGTTTCCAGCAAGGCTCAATCAATAATTGTTGCCGGACTTTATACAAATTTTGAATATTTTCTTCAGAAGTCATTAAAGTTAGTGAATGCTTTAAAATTAAAAAAAATATTTCTTTTATAAAAATTAAAAGCTTCCAACTCTCATTTCTTCCAATTCAAGTCGAAATCCTCCCTCATATACACTTTTTCGTAGTTGAATAATAACTGCACGTTCAATATCAAATTGGTCTAATTCTCGATGGTCTTCACTTGTTTGTAAAAGTGCACTAACTAAATGATTATTTTCTGCTTCAAATTCAATATGAACTGGACTTATATCCTAAAAATATTTTTAAAAGAAAAATATTATTTCTTAAAAAACAACCTGAATAGCCCTCACAGCATGTACAACAGAAATAGCTGTTCCACTCAAATAATAATTCATAAAAGTTGATTTCTCTGACGATGGAAAGTGAATTGTAGCATTTGTTTGGGTAGAAATGGCACTAATTAAAACTCCCTCAGGCGAGCCAACCATCATACGACGTTGCGAGACAGGAATTTTTAAATAGGCAAAAAACAAAGGACGCTAAAAATTTTAGAAAATTTAAAAAAATTAAAAGGAAAACCTCCTTAAAAAGAAGTTTAGTCATTGCCTCGCATGCAGCCGCCAACATTTTGGAATCTTTTCGTGATGCACGAAATACAAGTGAAGGATTGTTCATCTTTTAAAAAAAGTTAAAAGGAAGTAAAGGTTTTAAAAGATAATTTTGAGCTCTATTGTTGGTAATAACTAAAAGTTTTTAACAATCTTGCATTTAGGAGTAAGGAACATTTAGAAAACTTTACCCAAATTAAAATTTATATAAAAAAATATTTTCAATTAAAAATACATCTGTATTATTCATAGAAGAAAAAGGATTTGGTGGATAAAGAAGTGAAAATTGGACACGCGAGAACTCTCGAAGGTCATCACATTTTTGCCATTGACGGATTAATTCAGCCAAATCCTTACATTCAATGTCATCTTTTAAGTTCTTCAGAGGTGTAGCGATCGTTATTGGACAGAGAGCCTTTTAAATTAAAATCTAAAAACTTTTTATTATTAAAAAAACCAACCCGAATTCGATTCATTGCAAGGTCGACATTGGACAATTCCCCAATAATTGTTACCTAAAATTTAAAATATTCTCTAGTCATAATCTCTCAAATACCTGATTGAATAACCCAACTTCTTCGGAAGATTCATCTTGTTGATTTGCAAATTGTAGCATACAATCAGTATCTTTAATAATATCAGATAACGAATCATTAACTGCCCAAGCTTCCCGTCCATTATGTAAACTACAAAAATCGCTGTTTTGGACTTCCATTGTAAGACGAACTTTGCTTGGAATATTTTGCTACAAAAAAAGATTATTTAAAAGTGATTTCTTAAAAAAATTTACCCGTGGAAGGCTACCAATTGGAGGTGAAGACAAATGTTGTTGTGCTGCCATATGATGACAACGAACATATTCTGCTCGTCTCTTTTGCTCAAAACAGTCAATATTACGTCGAACAAATTCATTATATAACTTTAAAAAAGTATTTAAAAATTAATTTAAAATTTAAATTTACTGAAGCAGATTCTTGACAAGAATGGAACATTGAGCCGAATTGGCTATGAACAGATGGTGGCGTGGCTGATGACGTTGAAGAACTGTGACGGCGATTTTGTTGGAATCTAGCTACAAATATTAAAGTAGAATTAATTTAAAAGAATTTAAAAAAAACCTTTAGAAGTCGCTGACATTTAATAAAATAGAATATTCACAATAGGAAAAGAAGAAAAGTATTGCGTAAGGAAACCTCTTTTTTGATACAAATGGATCCAATCTATAAACAAAGCAATGAGAAGCAATGAGAAAAGATTTTTGTAGTTTATCTTAAAAATTGATAAATAAATGTACAAAAAATATTTTTTGATGAAAAAAGGAGAATAAATTGTTACAAAAAGTTTACATAAAAATTAAGAAAAAGAAATATTGAGAAATAAATAGGAAATCGAGCAGAATCTAGAAAACATTAAAAAATAATATTGAGAGTAAAAAGAAAAGGATGTGATCAAACAAAGTAATAATTGTTATAATAAAGGGAAGCTTTAAATTCTTCAAGGTTGGTAATTTAATTTGAATTTGCAAAAAAAAATAATGAAAAAAATTAATAGAACAATTCCACATTGTGAGCAATTGGACGGTAAAATTAATTGCATGTGAGATAGAGGAAAATCGAAATCTTGAAGTTTGCAGGAAGGATCCGTGAAATCGCACACCGATAATTAAAAAAATTTTTTTTGGGTACACCACAGTTCGGCGCTCAACTGGGCGCACACGATTGGGCGCCATTTTTTCGGCGCATCATATTTCGGCGTTTATAATACCACTGACAGTGTTAGTATAAAAGCACCCATTAAAGTCAGTTTAGTTGGCCAGACAACGGTCAAGCTAGCCACTGCCTGCTCCGGGCATGGGCAACCTAGTTTGATAGCAGTAGTTGCGTAGTTCTAGCTAGCCACTGGCTGCTTCGGGCACGGTCAACCTAGCTATGTCTACGTTAACTATTGCGATACGTGGCCCCTTTGTGTTAAGTTGTATTCATTAGTCGACACTTGTGCAGACGGTGTTTCCTTAACCAAAGGGCTGGGTATACTTAGCCACTGCCTGCTCCGGGCTTGGGCAACCTAGTTATTACCCGGCTAGGTTAGGCTAGACTAGCCACTGCCTGCTTCGGGCTTGGGCAACCTAGTTGAACCTAACCCGCTTCTTACGACCACTGCCACAATTGTTGCAATTGTTGTCTTGGTTGAGTAGGTCGCTAGCCACTGCCTGCTTCGGGCTTGGGCAACCTAGTCCTACGGAAGTGGTGGAGTACAAGGTTTGCCCGTTTACAACCCTGCACCTCCTCGCGGTGTACTCTGGGCATTGATTTAAATTTTTTAAATCAATGGCGAAGCGCGGTACAAACGGGAAAAATTGTTGATTTTAAGCCTTTAAAATAATCCCCATCTTCTTTCTTCTCACACAAATCATTTTACGATAAAATAGTATGAATTGAAGATAAAACTTGCAGAGTTTTGAGATTAAAAAGAAAAATGGGTTTAAATCAGGACCTCGATCCATATTTATTTTCGAAGTGATTTTATTTTCTAAATGATTTTTCCGGTTTATCCGAACGAGGTAAAGCATCCTTTAGAAATATTGAATCCTTTTATGATAAAATTGTATGAATTTCTTGGACAATTTATCCAAAACCCTATTTAAATTAAAATTTAATTAACTAATCCTGTAATCTCTAATACCCTTTTAAATGAGTTAATATTTATTGTTCGTTCTTATTTTTAAAATCACTTCATTCGTTTCTCACTTTTAACTGTTTTACTTTAAAAAAGCTAACAAAATTTGTAAATTATTTTTATTGTTTAATATCATCATCTTCAAAAAAATTGTTTCTTTTTTCTAGTTTATATCTGCTTTTCTTTTTCCAATTCTCGATTAGCTAAAAGAAAAGAAGAAATGAATGGGGGAGCGGCATTTCGATTTGAGAGGTTTAAAAATAAATGAATGAGTGCGGGAAATGGGGGGGGGGCTTATGTTTTATGTAGATTTATTTATTTATTCATTACTTTTTCTAATATATTTAGTTAGTTAGCCCCCCAATATATCCACTTGAAAATATAAAAGAAATTAGAAAAGATTTTAGTTAAAATATATAATGGATATATATATTTTGCCTATCCCTTTATTTACAATTGGATGGATAATTTTGTTTAATAATAATTAAATTGGGGATTTTGTTTAGAAATAATTTAAATTGTTTGTTAAAATAATTGACTACTAAATTATTCTTCAGAGACAATAAATTTTTGTATATCCGAATCGAAACTTTAGAGATAACATTAATTTAATAGTAGCCTAGACCAGAACATCTCTTGTAAAAAAGAAAATATTTAAATATTTTCTTTTTGGATTTTTTCAAACTTCTTATGAGAGGATTTAAATGAATCTTGATACATATTTATAGATAATTTTTAAAATTTCAACGTTTGGTAGAATTTTAATATTGACTATTTTTATATAAAACCTTTTTTTGTTTAAGCAATGATTTATGTTCTATATTTATTTTATATTTAAGTGTGCTTTAACTCCCCGAGGAATTTTTTTGGAATTATTTTTTAACAAAAATATTTTTAAAAATCAAAGAAAAAATTTTTTATTTAAAAATTAATTTTTATTGACTTTTTAATTAAAATAAATTAAAAAAAAATAAAATTTTCTTTTAATTTGATGCCTTTCCCTCTATAAATATATATTTATTATATATTAATTCACCGCTTTTGCCCAGCAGCTAATAATCCTCCCTCATTCAATTTTATTATTAATCCATCCCGACAGACATAAAGAGGGCTAAATGAAAAAAGGAAATGTTTTTTATATATTTTTTAGAAATTAATTTTTTCCTTAAAAAATAAATAAATATTTAATTATTTAAATAATTTTTAAAAAATTAATTTCCTATTATTACCTAAATATTTTAAATTATTAAACCTTAATCCTTTCTAACAAAAATTTCAATTTTTGATTTAATACTTAAAAATAATTTTTTTAGAAAAGAAATCTAAAATTGTAATATTTATTTTCAATTTGATCATTGATCACCAAATAATTATTCTTAAAGATTTTTTCTCAAAAATTAATATATATTTATTTTATTTTAAAGTTTTGCAGCTAAAATATATCCTCAAAAATTAATTTCTTTCCCTTTACTTTCATTTTATTTTCAATCAAATCATTCCCCCCTCCTCCCCCCTTCCCCTTCCCCTCCTCCCTTCTCGATATATTTAATATATCATTGTTCTTTTTTAATTTTCTTTATTTACTTCATCATAATCTCTTTTTTTATTTCTTCAATCATTTTTTGAGCAATTAACAGTTGCTTTTAATAATAATAATAATATTCCATTAAAAATTGTTATTTAAAAGAAAAAAAGATTTTGAGGGAAGGGAATTTATATTAAGTAAAAAATTTAGAATTAAGATTTTTGGGGAGGGAAAGAAATGAAAGGAAGGTAGGGCTAATAAAAATAAAAGTTATTTTATGAAAAAAAGTAAGAATGAAATTAAAGGCTTTGATGATTTGATGGCCCTTATATTTATTGAATTTAATAAAAAAAAGTTGATTTTTTAGTTGATATTATACGAAAATGATTTTTTATATTAAATTTAACAATAATTTAAAATACACTAAATTAATTCCTAAATCTTTTCTTTATTAAATTAAAAATTATTTTAATTTTCTTTTTCAATTTTATTTTCCAATTATTTAAAATAATTAATTGTTCATTCAATTTCTATAACTGTTAATGGCATTTTACTTAATTTTTTGTGTGTCCTCACATGTCCGTCCCCTCCATTTTCCTTACTTTTCTATTGTTCCTTAAAAAAGTTTTTTTATTATTATTCCCAAAAATTAATTGAGAGATAGAAGAATTAAACTTAACCACATTTAGCGCCTTCTTACCTCCTCTTCCCCCACCCTCTCCCCTCCCCCTTTCCCCAACCACTTACCCTCATTTATACAATTTTCTACAATTTATTTCTTTTATTTAATTTCCTCCATTATCTCTTAAAAATATTTTTGTTTTTTTCCAGTCAATTAATTATTAGAATATATTTAGGTAGTTAATTCGGGAGATGATTTTCTCTGGAAAGAAAGAGAGAGGGAAGTAGACAATGGCTAATTAGAAATATTTAAAGTTTTTATTTCTAGAAAACATTTTTATTGTTTATACCAAAAACAGATGTAAATTTTGGTAAGAAAATGGCAAAAAAATATTAGAGGAGGAGGGGGAGAGAGGAGGGGGGACTAGTCATTTAAACAAAAATAAACCTGTCAGTATTTTTTAAGAGTTTTAATTTCTGTAATTATTTTATTCCTTTAAAATATTTTCTTTACTTTTTTATTGAGTTAATATACTACATACCGGATTTATTCTAATAGAAACACATCTCTATTTGAACCACAGTCTCTAACATAACCACATCAAATGGAAGGGTTGAAAAATAAAATCACTGTGGTTCTAGTAGAATAAATCCGGTATTTTTATTTATTTTCAAAATAAATATCCACAAAATTTGTTTTCCTTGAATAAATTATTGGATTAAAATAAAATAGTAAAAAGGTATAAAGGTATAGGTACAATTTTTAATTGTTATCCCTTTTTTGTTCTTCTATTCTTTCAAATTATTTCCAACCAAATGAAAAAATTATTTTATTCAAAGGCAACAAACAGATTGACCTAAAAATCTTCTTTTGTTTTTATTGTTAAATAAAATTGTTTGCCAAAATTATTTTCCAAAAAAAATTTTAATAATTAATTTACAAAAATAAATAAAATTTATTAAAATAATAAAGGTGTTTGTCGAGAAGTTAATAAAATCAGAAAAAACAGCAAAACACAGTTGGTGGTCATTTATTTAGTTAAACAATTTACCAACTTTTTTTAAAACAAATAAAAATATTATTTTCATTTTCCATTGTTTAAAGAAAAAATCTTTTTTTTCTTTCTTTTCACAGCGTGGAGTAATTAAGTGTGAAAATGATTTTTAAAAAATTTTTAAATTAAATTAGATAATTGATAAAAATATGTATTTTGAAATAATTTTTAAATTTACCAATTTCCTTTTAAATTATTATTTCTAAAAATATTTTCCTCCTTCCTCCCTCCCTCCTTCTCTAATTTAAAAATTATATATT